ATTATATGTTACAATGTAACATATAATGAAATAAAGTGCACAATAAATGTAATACACTTGAATCATCCTGAAACCATCCCTTCCTCCTACCTCCTGTCCGTGGAAAAATTGTCTTCCATGAAACTGGTCCCTGTCTCCAAAAAGGTTGGGGACCACTACTCTAGAACGTACTTCTAAACCTCTCTGAAAGCCCCAAGTAGCTCTAAGAGGCATACTGTCACATCACAGAAGAGTAGCTGTAACACCTTCACGATACCAGGGAATAGGTGATGTCTATTAGGTTTTAAAAATTAGATCCCTAAGACAATAAGGAACATTAATAATCATCAGAATGAGAAACCAACATTTGTTTTGTTTTGCCAAAGATCTGAGAAGAAATCACAAAGCTTCCTTACAATGAGAAAATTAAATTCATGAGAGAGTTATGAACTCAATATTTTATAAGAAAATTGAAAGAGATTTTCAAACATATATTTGTTTATGTTGAAATCCACTTTTCTTGAGTATAAAATCCTTCAGTATGATCATTAGTGCGCCAGGTCATAGCAAAGATGTAGTAAGAACTTTCCAGGAGGCTTGTCATGCCAAGTAGTGCTCTTATGAGCATTACTGAAGGGGCTGAGCATTATGTTACTTTCCAGCAACTGTAATATACTAAGTACATTCCTCCAGCGATTAGAAAACTCCAGGGAATCACCCAAAGAGGGTAGCTGTTGCTAGGTTTTTGTCTGTTTTGCCAAGAAGCAGGGAAAACAACTGAGCTAAGAGGATCCCAGAATTACAGATCTATGAAGGGTCCTTTCAGAGTCCCAGGCAACAGCCTCCCTCTTCTTCCTTGCCTGTAGTCACCACCTCACAGCCCCAATCAGCTGACTAATGCCTAAAATTATAAAATTATAAAATCATGTATGTACGCAATACTTTGTGACCCTCGGGAGGAGGCCTTGCTTTCAATTGTATGAATCATTGGCTCTTTAGCCACTTGGCTTCGTGTATAAACAGCACTTGGAGGATTCAACCTTAGAGCTGAATCTAGATTATTCTCATTACTTTATTAATGGATTTAGGAAATTACTAGCACAGCGAGAACTTACTATATGTTAGACACTGTTTTAGCATGTTAAATGTATTATCTCAGCTTGTTTTCACATCAGCCCAAAGAAGAAAATATTTTTATTATCCCCGTTTTACAGGTGAGGAAATTGAGGCTCAAAGAGTTTAAGTGACTTACTCAAGGTTCCTCAGCTTGTAATTTGCAGAGCTGAGATTCAGCCTCAGGCTGTCTGATCCAAAGTTGGCTTTTTAAACCAATATGGTAACCTGTATTGGCTTTCATCAGAGTAATATAACATCAGCAGAATCTCACAGTTTTATTGGAATTTTTAAAAAATTGACGTCCACGTAAAGTTTTTGGTTTTGTATTTGTCTTACCCCAAAGTCAAGTACATAAATAATGTATACTTTACATATGTACCTGTCTTAGAAGGGCAAATGAATCCCACATAATAATTTAAAAGAATAAAAGTAGAAACCCACTGGTAAGTAGAAACCCACAGTGAGATTGTTTATGTGTTCAGCATTATCCTGCACTCTGTGGTATTTGCTGATGCACAGCCACTGCCATTGAAACTGATTCCCTGACCGTGATCATAATGACCAGGATTAGCCCATTCAATGGGTACATGCTGTCCCCAGGACGCACAAAAGCCTTCTTTAGAGATCCAGGCTTTCCTGGTAATGAGAGGTTAACTAACAAGGCTGCTGTATTCTACACGAGTAAATAGCAGTCCTTGTTCAAAATGAAGGAAATCAAGGAAAAGATGAAAGGGTCTTTGGCCAGAGGGAAATCACGCTAACCTGGTCAGCAGAACGCTATGAACAAGTTCAGGCTTCCAGAACGATGGGGAAAGGAGCGTTTCTGTTTGTTGACTATTTAGGTTCTTGAGAGTCAAATGATTGTCGGAAACACTCGTTAATTATTAAGTTAAAGAACTCATATTTGACTCTCGGGAGCCTGTTACTTAAAATTTAAATACTTATTGTATTCCTAAAACAATATATACACATTGTAAACAACCCAAACAATGCAATCCAAAAAAATATGGAGTTCAAAATGACAGCCCCAATCCCATTTCGTCCACAGACAAACCCGCTTTCCTTGTATATCTTTCCAAACAGTAAGAATAAACCATGGCCCTCTGTGACATACCTTTGGTGGCGGTGGTGGTCTCGGGATCGTGGGCTCCTGGTTTGGAACTCCGTATCCGATTTAGCTGTTCAGTGACTCTGGAAGGAGACTAGCTACAAGGAAATACTTCTGAAAAATCAGTATGAACCCCAATCTGGAGTGACTCTTCTCCTGAACTCCAGAGTGGCAGTCCTGTCGCAGGAAAGACCTCTAATAGTGATCGATGGTAGAGGAAGAGGTCTGTGCCTGGGACCAAGAATCAAACTGTCAAAGAAACCATAGATCTTTCCTTGAACTTTAAGTTGTTACTACCGAAAGATAGATACCTGGACCTCTCGGGCTGTCACAAGACTCAGGGAGCTCTGCCCACAGTTCCTGAGACCAGAAATACACACTAAGGAGCAGGTGCTGGAACAGGTTCTGACCCCTGCCTGGGAAGCTGCAGCCCTAGGTGGGATAATAGCATCCAGAACGTGGAAAGGAGGCATGTGATTATGCTGGAAAAGTTGAAGAGACAGCATGCGTTAAGGACAATCCACAGATGGTGTTACTGAGAACGAAAATAATAACTTGGCTCCAAAACAAAAAAGTTCTGGAGATGCTGAATTACGTAGGGGGAATCTCTGTAGAACTGCAACATGGATGCAGTCAGCGTAGTAAAAGCTCTAGTTACTGGTGAGTCATTAACCGGCATCGAGGAGTCTGTGCCAAAGAGAATCTCTTTGCAGTCAACAAGTTTTGAAAGGCTGTTATTTGTAGTGGATCCCTCCTTTTCCATCAGGAGATCCACCACAAGGAAAAATGCTATATAATATAAGGAATGTGGGAAAGACTGCAGCCATGGTGGCCTTATTGGACATCAAAGAATCCACGTAAGAGAGCACAAATGTGATGACCGTGAGAAGGCTTTCGTTCAGCAAGGAAACCTTACAGAACCTAGTGGAGAAGTAGGAAGACCTCTACGCAGAAGTCAGGGCTGACTGTGCACCAGAGAATCTGCACAAGAGAGAGATCTTGGAAACATGATGAATGTGGGAATGTTTTCCATGGAATCACGGCTTTTCTCGGCATTGGAGAATTCACACTAAAGGGAAACCCTGCCAGTGTGATGAGTATAAGAAAGTCTTCAGAGGTGGGACCTTGGGAAACATCAGCAAATTCACATTAGAGAGGCTCTTATAAATGAGAGAATTGTGAGAAGTTGTATGGACAGAGATCAAGCCTCAAGAGATCTCCACAGTACTGAAAAGTTAGTATAATTAATGTAAATGGACAAGTTGTATGGGGAATGAATATTTTAGATTGCCCATTTTAGCCAGTAAGAACACTGAATGAATGTCTCACATCAAGAAAAGCAAGGGTCAGAAGTTCAATTTCCTTTCCCAGAGAGGTCTATGTAGTGAGCAACCAGGTCTTTTGAAATAAATTGTTTACCTGCATCTCCGGACTTGTGATCTGTCTCCTGGATGATCACCTGTGGGCTGGGGGAGATGTTATTTCCTTTATGCCTGCTCTCATATCTTTAGTTCATTCAACAAGTATAGACAGTAATATTGTCCTCTGGCAAGTGGAGAGGTAGACAGATGACTCAGGTGGAGGAAGGGTGGCAGTGGCTATGATTTTTCTGTGCCTTCTACAGCTTTCTCACCTTGGAGTTCCTGGATTGCCCGGGACTGTCTCACCGCTCCACATCTCTTGCACAGACCCGTATCTCTCCCTGGAACACCGTGACACTCCACCCTCTTGTCCCCATGGCTAACTCTAGTTCGCCCTTCACAACTCATCCCCGGGTCATCTCCTCCATGAAGTGTTTCCTTACTCCTGCAGGCTGGGTTAGATGCCCTCTCTGTGTTGCCTCGGACTCACCAATTTCCTTACTCTTAACACACCTTCTCAATCTTATTCCTGGGTCTCCTACTAGACTCTAGGTTTCTCAGGAGCATCCAGAAGCAGTGTGCCTACGTTTGAACCCCAGCTCCATCATTTCCTAGCTGTGTTCAAGCCACTAAAACTCAGTTCTGTCATCTGTGAAATGGGGACAATCATTCCTACCTTGTTGGGTTGTTTTGATGATTAACGTTGCCTGGGACATAAGCGCTTGATAAATATGAGCTATAGTAATAATAAAATTAAAATAATTATTATTACAATTACTATCAGTCATCTCTTTATTCTCAATGTCTAGTACAATGGCCAGTGTGAAGTAGGCGCTCAGTCAATTGGTGTTAAATGGAGCTGTGGTTAATGCATTAACAGTGATTAATCGAGAACTATGCTGTTGTATATGGTAACCACCAGCTATGTTTGACTGTTGAGCACCTGAAGCGCAGCTAGTCCCAAATTAGATGTGTCCTATGTGCAAAAATGCACCACGTATTGAAGACTTAGCATGGAAAACAGAAAGTAAAATATAAATAAATTTTTATATTGATTACATGTTGACATGATAAGATTTTGGATACTTTAGTTTAAATATATTCTTAAAAATAATCTCATCTGCTTATTTTTACCTTTTAAAATGAGATTGCAAGGAAATTTAAAATTACTCATGTGGCTACATTGTATTTCTATTGGATGGCACGCACCTAGAATGTTCTCAACCTACCATTAGCATAGCAAATCTTCACCCAACCTCGTTTATGCTCGAATATGATGTGAGCTTTAAGAGGGTAGATAATTCATTTAGAACAATGATTTGTTGAGAACCAAAAGCACATCCCCTTGACTTGTAAAGGGCTTTCTCTGCAGGGTTAGCATGATGAGGTACAGAAGTATATAGAAAAGTGATTGAAGCTTTATTGGGATTTTCCAGGTTCGTTGTGATCCTGAGATTCAAGAATTGCGTCAGTGGCAGAAGAAACTGAGCGAGGACAAGCACATTCGCCAGCGAGTCCGAATTTTCTGGACCAAACAAGAACAAAAAGGTCAGTGGCTTGATTCCCCATCCTTAGCTCATTCAGGAAAAGCTTGATTTTCATTCCAGGCTCAAAAAGGAAGCCCTCCGAGGTTTTATAAGGTCCTTGTGTCTGCATGGAATTTGATTTGTGTGTGAGGAAAGTGAAATTCTGCACATTGAAATTCTGCTCCAGAAGGACAGAGGTGATGTGATGTGATTTACATGGCCATCTCCCTCCCTCAGGGACACATGCAGTGTCACCTTGTATCTGCAGGTTTTCATTTTTCAAGCTATAAGACATCAAGAATAACCAGTTATTTTGGAAACACAGTGTCTATCAACATGATGGGTGGTGATTCTTCTAAAGTGGCTGATTGTGTGTCTGAGCTTAAGTGGTGTTTTATGCCGTCTTCTCCCCTTTGTGATGGTTAATTTTATGTGTCAACTTGACTGGGCCACAAGATGTCCAGGTGGCTGGTTATCTGGGTCTGTCTGTCAAAGTGTTTCCAAGGAGCTTAGCATTTGAATTGACGGGCCAAATAAATCGATTGATTCTCCCCAGTGTGAGTAGGCGTCATCCCGTCTGTTGAAGGCCTGGATAGAACAAAAGGGTGGAGAAGGTTGCATGAACTCTGCCTGTCTGAGCTGGGACATGGGTCTTCTGCCCTTGGTGCTCCTGGTTCTCAGGCCTTCAGACCTGGACTGGAATCTAACCACTGGGTCTCCGGCTCTCAGGCCTTTGAATCACACTGCGAGCTTTCCTGGGTCTGCAGATTGCAGATGGCAGATTACAGGGACTTCTCAGTCCCCATAATTTTGTGAGCCAATATCTTATAATAAATCTCTTCCTTATATCGATTTAAGATTCCTCAAATCACTTTCTTTATATAGAAATTATATAATCTATTGGTTTGTTTCTCTGGAGACCTTTAATACACCTGTTTTTGAGAAATTAAAAACATACACACACAAAGTACAATGAATAGCACAACAAGCACCCGTCATCTTTCATACACAAGTGTCACCATTTTGTCCTATTTGCTTTCATTCTTTTTTTATTTTTAAACTTTAAGTTACCACATATTCACAGTAGGAGAATTAATAAAACAATGCAAGGGACATCTATCTCTTCACCTTCTGTTGTGATTATCTCTTGGCTGCCACAGCTTCCCTGGCTGTGACCGCATGTACATCCACGGCCTGTGGGCAGGCGTCCCCATGTTGGCTCCCGGCCTCAGTATATTTCGTGAGTTCTTCCTCGGGGGAGACAACAGGTTGTAGAACCTGACTGTGACTCTGCTTTTGCCACAACCACCCTAGATCCCTCCTGTGTCAGTGCACTCCAAGCCTTTTGCTCTTGGAGCCTCCTTCCCCAGGGGCCAACCCTCTTGAGTGGGGCATTGGAGAGATAGCTCAAGTAACCTTCCCGTGTCCACTTGCGCCACAGGAAACCAACGGCAGACACACAGACTTCCCCACTGCCCTCCCCTCTTTCTCTGCCCCAAGTGTCTCTCCAGTTCACATAGACCTGCTCAAAACGGTACAGGGGAATGATCTGTAAATCTGCTCTTAAAGCAGATGTCCAACCAGGTAATGGGATACCAGCCTCCCTTTCCTGAAGGTAGCCTCAATCTTTTCAAGTTGTTCTCTTTGATCCCCCCTCCCTTGCCTTAGGACTTGGGTGACAGGAAGCACCCGCTCTTGTCTAAGAGAAGAGAGAAAAGCACAGTGCTCTCCTCTGGGCCAGCACATCTCAATTTTTTTGGACCGTGACCCAGGAAAAAATAATTATATATTGTAATCTAGTTCATAAAAATATACAGATGTTTTCATATATATATATATAACTAAAAAGTTTTAAGGAAAAAATGTTGTCATATGTAATGCCCTCTGATATTTTCTATTCTACTTAATTTTTGTTTTTTTAATGCTAGATATGACCCAAGAAGTCATTTCCTGGCCCACGATTATGTCGTTGGGATGGGCCCCAGGCATCACTGTTAATGTGAAGTTTTCGGGATTCTACTGCTCAGCCAGAAAGGAGACCCTAAGGCGATGCAGGATGCCCGGTTGTTTTGTGCTTTCTTTAAAATGTGGGGTCCTCTAAGCCACAGGTCCCCCGCCTTTTTGGCAACAGGGACCGTTTTCGTGGAAGACAATTTTTCCACAGACCGGGGAGGGAGGATGGTTTTGGGATGATTCACGTGCATTACACTTATTGTGCACTTTATTTCTATTATTATTACATTCTATTATATAATGAAATAATTACGCAACTCACCATAGGTTGGGGACCCCCGCTCTCGGCCCCATGTGCTCAGCTCTGGGCAACAAGACAAGGCTTGCTGACGCTCGATTGCACATCTGTTGTTTGTTCACTTGGCCGTTGTCTTCCCCGCTGGAGTGTAAGCTACGTGAGAACAAAGCCCTTGTCTGCCTGGCTCACCTCCTAGGACAGTGCCTGGCAAATAGGTGTTGATTGAATGAACACGTGAATGAATGAATGAATGAATGAATGGAATCATGAGGTTTGAATGAGTCGACCTACAGAAAGTGCCTGGTGCAGAGAGGGAGCTCATCAAGTTGGCAGTCTTAGCGGTCCTTATAGAGAAGCAGCCTGACCTATTACTGCACGGCTGGCTCAGCACAGGCCTCTCTTCCGTGCACAACTGCAGTTTTATTTCACTTCAAAACTGGAAGGCAGTCAGGGCTGTAATCAGTTTAAAGGTCGAGGCAAGTGCAGCGTGCCTATTTCTTTCTGCTGTTCGGTATTCTTTGGAGTTGATTTGCAGTTGGTTGGGTGGGTGATTGAGTGGGCTTGCCGGGAGCAGGGAGAGTGGACTGGATTTCATGCCTTATCCAGCCAGCAGTGGAAGGGCTGGAGGGGCCAGGGAAGCATTCCCTTTTCCACCACCTGCTACTCGCTTCCCGTGCCACTTCCCAAAGGCTCCAAAACGAGCCGCACTTTCCAAACAAGATGAGTCTTCAATAAATACCCCAATGTGAACCAATGCATAAATCCCCATTTACGCTGGGACTGAAATGGCCCTTGGACAAAAAACTCAATTCTAAAGACTGTCCCAGGTCTATGGTCAGTTAAGAAAGAAGTCAGTAGAGCGGTAACAGGCAAAGGACCTGATCTAGTTAACGTCATTAAGCCTCAGTTTCCCCATGTACAAAATGGGACTCATGATAGTACCTGTCTCATACAGTTGTTGTTAAAGGATAACGAGAGATGATCTTTAGAACAAGTCCTGGCACATAGTTCCCATACATGTTAGTTATTGTCATGATAGTATTATTAAAGTATCTGTGTGCTTTTGAACAATTTTGTGTTCACTTCTGCCAATAGACTCTAAGCTCCAGGGAGTTCCATGTAAGGATTATGGTTTGTCATATCCATCATGATCCTGGCACAGAGCAGGTGGTCTATACGTATTTGGGAATGACGCTCTGGGCTTCATTTTACCAAGGAAGAAATAGAGGCCCAGGAAGATCCAGTGACTTGCCCAAGGTCACACAGCAGTGGAGGGCCTGGGGCAAGGGCCCCGGAGTCCCCTTTCTCTGCTCAGTGTTCTAACACATCCCCAAGGAGAGACTCAGAGAGACAAGACGCTATCTTGGATTCTACTATCAAACCCAAATTTCTCAGGAATCTTCTGGAACATGACATATGGCTTGTCTGATTTCTTATCATCTGGGCTTCAGGGTTCTTGTTGTTTATGTTTTCGTTGACTAAAGCCCCTAACTCGGGGCTGAATTATGAGAAGCAGGGTACAACCTGCTGCCCACCAAGTGAAGCAAACTTTTTGTTCCCTTCAGGTGTCCCCAAGCCGAATCATTTTGTTAAGCTCATGCACTAGAGTTACTTCCTATTTTAAACTTTATGAATCTGGGTAATGCAGAGGTTTAGAAAATAAATCTCCCCAGCCAAGGTGACACAGTAATTAGACCTCAGAGACTCCAGTGAAGCGATTTGAAAATGGGTGTTAAGCACATGCTAGTTCTCCTTGAGACTTGCAATAAAAAACAGTGGAATGATTGCAAATGAAAATGGTTTTGCAACTTCATTAAAAGCAACAGCAACTCATCTTTGTGCAAATCCAGCAGACAAACATATCTTTTTAAGGTGTTACCATTTTATCCATATTGTGCTCTGGTATTTGCGGTATGAGTAGATTTTGCCAAGTTCGTATCTTGGAGCAACCTTGATGCAGACAGGAGGTCTGAGGGAGCGTAACATCAGCTGTCGGGGTGGAATCCTGGTCATATATAGCCCGTCTCATGTTACACTGAGTCAGAGGCTGCTGGGCCCAAAGAGTATTTTCTTCTAGGACAGAATGAGGTATGAGGTTATCCTCAAGTCTCCATCCACTGGGACAGATGCAGAAATTATTTTAAAATGTGTGTGGTAAGAATTTCAGCCAACGTAATTCAACAGAAGATGCCTAAGTCATTTTTGAGATGTAGTAAAAAATTCTGTCTTGATTAATAGCATATTTTTAGCTTCATATAATCAGTAATTGTTTTCAAATGTGCTTTGTAATTGAATATCCGTATTTTATTTGGAAATCTAGTATAAGCAGGGAGAAAGAAACCATAGAAATTGTTCCCATAACATCAGATTAAATTTCATGTATATGTATACACACACATGTGTATATATATCATAACATCAGATAAATTTCTCATGTATGTGTTTGTATCTATATTCTTTATATATGTACAAATCTTTAAATGACTTCATCTCTTTTTAATGTTCTGAAAAAAATGCAGGGGTGGAGGGAAAGATTGATCTGTCAAATGAAATGGATTGTTTACTTTTTATTTGCTCAACTATTTCCTGTTTCATTCCACAAGTGGTTCGTAGTAGTAGTTACAGAAACACATACAATATTTTTAGGTAAATATGGTAATTGAAATAAGGAAAACTAAAGATTAGGGAAAAAAATAAAGCCACTAAGGGCAGTAAGAAAAATACTCCAAGGCCTAAAATTTTAAAATTAAGTGACAAATAAAAACTATATT